CCCGCCACCTTAGGTGTATGTGGCTGGCGCCTTAGCCGGTTGAGCTATAGGCGCCGAGCCACGAACCTTATTCTTAACACTTGTAATTTCCAAAGAGATGGATAACACCTGATCATTGTTTGCATATTGCAAAGCAGGCTACGATCCACATTTGGGAAGAGGGGCAGAGAAATGCATGCTAACGCGCGGAGTTCCCCCCGCCACTCCCTTCCCTTATTACATCCAGGGAGCCAGGTGGCGTCAACCCCGCACCCCCCTCCAGTTCTCCCACTTGGGACTCGAGTGTTGGATCTCGCCCGGTCCTCTTCTCACAGGTGAAGGGAAGGGGCACCCAGGTTCCTCAGCTGCATCTTTCCAAAAGAGGAAGTATAAATGCTGCAAAGGCAACGAGTGCGCCAAGACCCCGAAACTTGTATTCCCCGTGGTCACAATATGTCCCAGCCTTAGACGCCTAGACTAGGTCTACAGGATAGCGGGAAGCCCCGGAATCGTTACTACAAACTACCTTTTGCCAGCCCTCGGTGGCCACCGTCTCCCACCGGGCCCAGGTTACACCTGTGCGCGATGTCCCCCTCCGCCCTTACCTTGTAAAAAGTGATCGTATCCAGGGGAAGGGCCCCCTTGGTGTGCAGGCCGGTTCCGCCATGCGGAGTACAGAGGAGCAGAAGGCCCAAAAAGAAAACCATAGGAGAGACAGAAGCCATAACGCCGGATTCCTGGAGCGAGAGGTTAAAAAAAAAATCTGTGCGCGAGAACAAGCCTAAGGCAGGGATCACGTGACTAAGAAGGCGCGAGCGTGCGCGCACACGTAGACAAGCCCGGAGGAGCCACGTGGGGGGCGGGAGGGGCGAGGGAGAAGAGACTTCCGCGCACGCGCATTAGGCAAAGCTCGCAAGGCTTGGGGGAGGGGCGGGACCGCGTGAGGGAACGGAGACTGGGGCTGCTGCGCACGCGCATTTGGCGAGACTGGAGGCGGGCCACTCCGGCTATAGTCTTCCTCCTGGTGTGGCGAGACCCGGAGCGCGTGGATGGACCGTCAGCAATTGTTTGCTGTTATTCCTCCTCTTTGGAGATGACAAGGCCAGCATCATTTCTTCCTGCTTTTGGTCGGTCAGGAAGTCGGTTGGGACCCGCTGCTGCCCTCGGTTAGTCTGTTAGTCAAGTCCGCCGCTCCCCTCAGCTGCTCCAGTGTCCACCTGGGCTGGGGGCTGCACTCGGCTGTTAATGTGGTGGGAGGGAGGAAGACACACACAAGAAAAAGTCTAATAATTCTATTCAGCAGATTATTTGTTCAGTGTATAGTTTATGCCAGATCCTGGCTTTGCCTGTGGGAATACAGAGTAGAGGTAAACAAGAAGGAATTCATCGTGTTAGGGGAAGAGGAGGCACATAGGAATAATAATATAGCCAGCACGGTGTAATTGCTATAAAATAAAGAGTCTATTAGAATATTACGAAAACACAAACGGAAATTCTGTCGTTTCTACTCAGTGGTGTCAGAGAAAGTTATAGACAGATGATTTTGGAGCTGAGTCTTTTTTTTTTTTTTTTTTTGAGACAGAGCCTCAAGCTGTCCCCCTGGGTAGAGTG